CTCTCTCTCTCTGGGTCTCTGTCCCCCTCTCTCTCTCTGGGTCTCTGTCTTCTACTCCTTTCTGGAGGCTCCTGCTCCCTCGTTCTGTCTCTGCCCCCTCCCTGCCCCCACACTCCCTAAGTCACGACCTGTCCTTGTCCTTCATCTCCTTCCACTGTGGACACTGAGAGTCCCTCTCCACACAGGAAGCCCGGCCTGAGGCTAAAGGTCTTTGGGCTGAAGTATGTCAACAGGTTAATAAATAACTGGAGCCGGACAGTCTGACTGGGTTGCCCTGGGCAGCTCCCCTCCCCCACGGGTTCTTCCCCAGGGACACTGAGTCCAAGACAGATGGACGAAAGACATCAGGAGCAGGGATTTCGGCAGGACCCAGGGAGAGCGGGCAATATGGCCGCAGGCGGGATCCCAGGGAGAGACTAATACGGGAACTGAGAAGTTATGAGGAAGAAAGGCACGGGGTCAGTTTCCAGCTCTGTGGACTTTTGGGCGAGAAGGGACCACAGGTCTGATCCTGAAGGTTAGGATCCGAGAAGTGGCCATCAGATCCAAGGGGATGAAGTCAGCGGCCACCCCTCCCACGCTCGCCTGGGCCCCTTCTGAGCTGAGCTCACCATGACTCAGCAAAGCGGCTGCCTGGCCTCCTGCCCAGACATCCTGATGTTTTGTGGGGGGCTTTCTAGTTCATGCCAACTCACAATGCTCTTATAGGAGCGAGTGGAACTGCCCCGAGGGTTCCCAAGGCTGTGGTCCTTGTAGCAGATCTTTCTCCCAGGGAGCTGCTGGGTGTGTTCGAACCTCTAAACTCTCAGCTAGCAGCCAAGTTCTTAAGTATTGTGCCAGTGTTGTTATTTTTATTATGTGCCGTCGAATCGCTTGGACTCATGATAACTCTATGTCAGATGAACCTCAGAATCCTTGCCTCCGGGGGGCAGCCTGACATCCCCCTCCCCAGGACAAACCTGTTTGTTCTCCTAGCAGTCCATGGAATATTCAGCACTGTTCTCCAGCACCACAGCCGAAAGGCATCAATTCTCTATCACCCCGAGTCACTGTTCAGTGCTATCACGCATAGCAAGCGACTGCGAAGATTATGGCCTGGATCAGGCGCACCTTAGTCTCCAGACTGACATTGTTGCTCTTCAGTACTCTGGAGAGGTCCCTGACAGCTGACTTTCCCAATGCAATTATCTCCTGATTTCCTGGCTGCTGGTACCAAGTCTGTTGATTGTGGAGCCAAGCAAACTAAAACTGATAACAATCTCAATCTCTACACCATCTATCATAATGCTGCCTTGTTACCGCTGTGTTGTTAGGTGCTGAGTCGTAGATGATTCATAGTGACCCTATGAACAAAAGGCCTGAGCACTGTTCATAAGCGGATGCCCCGCCTGCTTCCAAGCTTGTCTTAATCGGGAAGCTCCACCAAACACTGTCCACCATGGATAACCATTATCCCATCCGGCATATCAGTGTCACAGTGTTCAGCATCACAGCAACCGCGAGTTACCTCTGTACAGCAAATGGACAGACCAGTGCTGTACCACCTAGAAGAATGTTTGACAGAAAAACAATTTGAACCAGGCCCGAGGGTTGCAGATTTTTTTTAAAAAAAAAAAAAAAAGCAGCTGCCTTAGAGGGAATTATTTCTGTATATAAACAACTAAAGGAACAACAAAATAGAATAGGCTTCCAGTCAATTCCAATTCACAATCAGAACTCCACAGGGTCCCCCAGAGATCAAATCATTATGGAGTTAGATTGTCTCAGTTCTCCCTCAGGGCAGCTTGTGGGTTCAAACCACCCATTTTGGTTAACACCCTTGTGTTTACACAATGCACCACCAGGGCTCCTTGTCTCCAAAATAACCATACAGCCTGAGACTCAACATCATTTCACACACATCCCAACCTCAGCTTCTCCAAGAAAGACCTCAGCTTCCACAAAACACTGCTCATAGCTAACCCTCCATGGGGTTTCTGAGGTTGTAATAAATCACTCAGGAGACAGACAGTTCATCTCTCTCTCTCTCCTTCCGTCCCTCCCTCCTTCTCTGAGTTGCTGGTGGATTTTCAAACCGCTGTTTTGTTGTTATGTGCCACTGAGTCGCTTGCGACTCATATCGACCCTATGTACAACAGCCCTAAACTCCGCTCTGTCCTGTGCCAATTGCACTGTCTCTGATACACCCATCCCGATTACCCCAGTCACTGAATCAACCCACCTCATAAAGAGAGGGCCTGCCCCTCCTGTGCTGTCCCTCCACCCTCCCAAGCATGATGTCCTTCTCCAAGGATCGGTCTCTCCTCACAACTTGTCCAAAGTATGTTAGACGGAGCCTCAGAATCCTTGCCTCCAAGGAGCAGCCCAGTTTAACCCTTTCCAGGATGAATCTGTTTTCCTAGCAGTCCATGGTGCATTCAATACTCTTCTCCAACACCACAGCTCAAAGGCATCAATTCTACTTCTATCCTCCTTAGTCACTGTCCAACTCTCTGATGCATAACAAGTGATAGCAAAGACAATGGCCTGTATCAGATGCAGAGAGGTTGTCAAATTAGTGGCACAACTCCCTACAGACTAGGCCACACCAGAGCTCTCTAGAAAACAGCTGAGACATTTAATAGGCATTCGATTTTTCTGGGACTCTGAAGGTTCTCCAAGTTTCTTGAGCCTCCCCTGCCTCAGAAGTATTCTGTTGTTGTTAGGTGCCATCTAGTCGATGTTCCTGCCTACTGAACCTTCATGTGGGAGCAGAACTGCCCCAAAGGGATTTCAAGGCTATGTTCACTTTTTTTTTCCTTAATTATTTTTTAATTTTATTATTTTTGTGTGTGAGTGTACCGTCAAATCAGATCTGACTGGTACAGGAGGAGATTGTCCCTCCTTCCCCATCTGGTGGATTCAAACCGTGAGCCTCTGGGACTGTAGTTGCAGCTCCTTGCCACTAGGCCACCAGAGCTCCCCAAGGCTATGTTCACTTTATGGAAAGGTACAAGTGGCATAATGGTGCACAATTGTTAACTGAAAAGCTGGAAGTTCAAACCCACCAACTGCCTTGAAGGAGTAATTCTGTAATGATCACAGCCTTGGACAGTTCTGTTATCTTTTTGGGGGGGGTCACTAGAAGATCTTTCTAGTATGTCTGAGAAGGGGTGTAGCCCGGGAATCTCTGGAGGCAAAGATGGCAAAGCTTTGTCTCTGATACTCTGAACACGTGGCTAAGAGACTAGGAAATCACGCTTGGAAAGACGGAGGATCAGTTAAAGAGAGGAAGACCTCCAAAGGGATGGATTGACATTGTGACTGCAGCAGTGGGCTCAAGTGTGTCGAGATGGTGAGCGCGGCTGAGGACGGGACAGGATTCAGATCTGTTGTTCAAGGATTGATGAGTCATACCGCACAACATACCTAACAACAGGAAGATCTTAGGGGTGCAGATCACGAGGTCTTTCCTGCTAAGTGGGGTTGAACCACAAACTTTCAGTCAACAGCTGAGGACTTTGCTGAACCACCAGGGTTGCTTCAAACAAATCTTTAGATTTCCAGACTCAGAGCCCTTCTATCCTTGAACCTCCAAAATTCCAGAACCATTTGCTTTCTCCCTGGCGGTGTTTTTACTGGGCTCCTCAACTTCCAAAGAAACACGAGCTTCCCAGACTGCACACTGAAGCCACAGAAGCTTTTGGACTTCAGAC